TTTTACAACCCCTTAAAAATGTAAGCAAATCTGAATTTCACAACATGGATATATCGAAAAACATAAAATTCGCGGATATCTGCTCAATGCTCGATAAAGTGAAAAATGCTAAAAATCAAGCTTCAAAAGAAAAGATACTGCGTCGCTATTATGAGTCATTTCAAAAGTTTCGACAAATATTTCGCAAAGAACAAGGAGTTCCGCCTGAGTGTCCCGAGGTAAGAGCTAATTGTCCATTGTGCTTTTTAAGCAAAATCTGAAACATTTAATCTGCAGGACGGTAGCTCCAGTTTTTTCAGCGTGCTAAGATGCCTGATACCACGGGACGACATGTCGCGAAAAGCTTATGGGTTGCAAATAACAACGCTCGGTAACGTGTACATCGATGTGTTGCAACTTCCAAAGGATTGTACGTATTTCAATGAAATACTTTAGTTGAAATTGAAAATTAAAATAAGTCATTAATCCAAATAGCCAACGATGTGCAGCGCTTACAAGCGCGCACCTATAATGGACCTCAAGGAGACTATGCCGATATCGTCTATGCAGTGCTGATGCCTCGTTGTAGACATGAACCTAGTGAACTATCCCTATATGAAGTGCATCAAATGTTGGACACTATTGCAGAGGACGATCGACAAGGTTAGATTGAATTTGCTTAGTTTAAATAACGATAATTTTGTCGATATAATTTTCATCCTTGTTTTCATTGTTTGGAATGTAATTAATTCAAGTTCTTTTTAGACACAAAAAAGGTGCTAACTCGCTTGGCTGAAATAGCTTCAGCTCAAGAGCAAATGTGGTTTATACGGCTTTTGTTAAAGAACATGCATCTCGGCATCGGAGAGCAACGTATTTTCGGGCTCATGCATCCGCAAGCCAGAGATTTGAATAGACGTTGCTCAAATTTGAAGCGGGTTTGTTGTTTGCTTGCAGACAATAAAATAAGCACCGAATATATGTCAGCGCAAGAGGCTCCAGGCGAGCAGAACCGGAACGTCGGTACTTTTAATCTGAACAAAATTGTACAACCTTTTCAGCACATACAAGCAATGCTGTGTGAAATGTTTCGAGGCAGTATTGAACAATTAATGGCTGAGGACGTACTTTATTTAGAAACAAAAATGGATGGCGAACGTTTTCAGTTGCACTATGCTAACGAACGGTTCAAATATATATCGCGCAATGGAATTGATTACACCCATAGCTTCGGCGAAAATTATAAGAGCGGACCACTGACTCCTTTACTTGAATCGCTCTTACCGGGAGACTTACAATCCATAATACTCGACGGCGAAATGATGGTTTATGATACGCAGCAAAAATGTTATCGCGACAAAGGGGAAAATACAGATGTGAAGCATTTGGGCAATAGAAAGAATTGGCGACCTTGCTTTGTGGTCTACGATGTGTTATATTTTAATGGCAATAGTTTTCTGGAGATACCATACGCGCAGCGTTGTCAAAAGGTTGTCGAGCTTATTCGGGGAGAAGAGCCTGGTATATTGCAAATAATGCGACCAATTAAGATAACCGAAGTAGAGCAATTCCAGCAGCTCTTCCAGAAAGCTCTGGATTCAAAACAGGAGGGAATAGTGTTGAAGAAACAAAATTCCACCTATAGACCGGGTACGCGGGTTGGAGGTGGGTGGTACAAAATAAAGGCAGATGTGCGTTTGTAACATATGGGTTTATTTTATTGCTTCGTATTCTTGACAATTATTTTCAATTTTTCACAGTACATTGCGGGTCTGACAACCGAATTCGATTTACTCATTATTGGTGGTTTCTACAATCGAACGCGTACATTTATCCAATCATTTTTGCTAGGCGTTCTCAAGTACACTTCAGATACCCAATATGCCGTATACAGTGTTGGTAAAGTTGATAACAGAACGCGTCAGAGTAAACGACTAAATGATGCACTAAAACAACATTGGCAAGATAGCAAAATGGAACCGCCTCCCGATTGGTATCATTATAAAGCCACGAGCCCAGAAGGCAGACCTGATGTGTGGATTCAACCAAGCAAATCGGTAATATTGCAAATTAGAGCAACCGACTTGTCCCCTTCCTCAGCCTTTGCACTAGCTAAGTCTTTGCATTTTCCACGCATAGAAATGTGGCGCAATGACAAACTGTGGAAGGAGTGTCTTTCAATTCACGATTATATGGAAATGATTCAGGTTGAAATATTTTATTAAGATTTCTACTTAAATGCTTATTATATGCATTTCCAGGGAGAAAGGGGTATAAAAAAAATACACAAGCGAGAAGTTGAACTGGGAGATTTAACGGGACCCCAAAAGAAACGCAAGTTAACGTTGGCAGAGCGCCGTAAATTGGGCATATTATCCTATGAAAAGCGCTTCAATCCAGATGAGGTAGGTAGTGCGCAGGAAATATTGCATTAATCTTTAAATTGTACTTACCGCAGATAGAGCAATGTTCAAATCTGTTTGAAGGATTCTCATTTTGCATACTGAGCGCAAGTTTGAAAAACGGCTACACGCCAGAGGATCTAAAAGCTATTGTAGTCAGCAATGGCGGTGAAGTAGTGGAGAATCCTATACAGGACCCTAAATGCATATCAGTAGCGGGTGATAAAACATTTCGAGTCGAAACTTTATGTAAGTCGCGTCGTTATAATATTGCAAAATTGAAATGGTTAGTGGATACTTGTAAGAGACAGGAATTGCAATTAACTCCAACCGATATGGTTTGCATAACACATGAGTTGGAAGCTGAATTTTCACAAATATTTGATAAATATGGCGATCCATTTACGGAATGTACAGATGTTGAACAGTTGATGAAAGTGCTAGATGGCATACAAGATGAAGATGTAAGTTAGTTGATTTGGTAGTTTTGTATATATGTATCTTCAGATTTATTTTGATAACATAATTTGTTTTTAGCTTGTAACTATGGATTCTTCAAAATCAAAGATTGCTGAACTTGAAACGATTTTGTACGACGACACTACGGCCTTCTTTAGCAATTGTTTTGGTACCTTTTATAGTATAGATCAGAATACACAATTGGCAAAATTAATTTACCAGTATTTGGGTGGCCAGTGTTTTGACGATTTAAATGACGATAACATTCAAACTATTAAATATGTTTTCATCAACTCTAATTTGATTGATAAAACTAAATTGAAGGCGTGGATTTTAAAGCGTTTCAAGAAGCGCTTAGGAAATTTGCATGTTGTAAACATTGCTTGGATACTACATTCACATCGCGCTAAGAGGAAACTAGATGTATACGAATATATGTGGAAGGAATTTTAGTAATACATATGTATGTAATTGTGATTAAATTTTTATTTTTTCGTATATATTTTTGTAAATTGTATGTTTTCTATTGTAATTTGTTTTGTTTATGTAATATACTATGTAGGTAACGTAAAAGAGTTTGTTAATTTGGATCAATTCATGACCTGCAAAAGCGTGTTTTTTGCTTTTTTGTTTGTTTTTCAATAGTAAATTTACGTATGTGCACATATACATAATATGTAGGTCCCTTGAGCTCCTCTTTAAAGAAATATTTCATAGCGTTCCCAAACTGTAATTCAACGATATTTGAAGTCCACTTCGATTAAGTGTAACACCTGCATCAACCTAGATACTTCATCAAGACTTCGTTCTGCTTTAAGTTTAGAACACTTGGCAGTTTCAGAAGTGGCATAGACGGAGAGTGCGTGGCCTCTGGTCACGGCTTCCCTAAATATGTGTGCCTTCTTTTAACAGCCGCGTCGCATTCTGGAAGAAGGTCCTTTGAGTATTTGTAAAAAGATAAAGTACTCTTGCATTTCCAGGTAAAGGGAGAAAATATATTCCATTTTCAATTCCTTTCAGGGGAATTGAGAAAAAATTACATTACTTGCACGTGATTAATTCCAATTACAATATGAAATTCCTTGTAATGGGTTAAAAAAATTAAATTTTAAATTAAATACTTGAAAAAGTAATCAATTCCTTTGCTATAGACTGTGTACGGAGGAATGTAATTTTGGTCTTGTTCGAGTTGCATTTACCCAGCTCTAAATCAAAGACGAAAACCTTATAGCAGTATGCATTCAAGCCTTTCACATGATCGTAGCCGAAGTTTATTGCCAGAGCAGATAAAATATTCGATATTTTTCACCACAAAAATAGAGAGAGAGAGTTCTTCGTTAATCCTTCTGTCAACAACCCTAAGTGTCCATTAGACAGCAAACCCTCGTAAAAGCCTTTACCTTCCTTAGCTCTTAGTTTACGAAAAAGTGAGAAAAGCATATGCGCCTTCAGTTTTAACGTGGGCAAGCTTTGGTGATCCGTTAGATCCATGTCCGATGAAGCGCGACGAAAAATTAAAAAAAAAAAAAACAAACATGTCGGATAGCCAGGCAGCGTTAAGAGCACTTGACTTGCAAGTCGGGCCATGAGCGTTTCGAAAGAAACGAAAGGACTGTCACTAACGAAATGGCGGTGGCCAACGCAGCCTAATCAGTACTCAGCCTTTTTGGGGTCCATCTAGAGCAGTGATGCTCAGAGTGAGCTTTTACTCGGTGCGCGTCTATATAAAATCTACAGAGTTTTGAAGAGTTCCGCGCGCGGGCTAGAGGATGTGTGGCAAAGCTTCTAAGGAGATGTGAGGGCTCAAAAGTTGCAACCCAGTGGCACACGACAACCCCTCTTGCGGAATCTCTGAGTGACTGCTAAAACTTAGCAGAGGGCTTAAAAACTCTCACCAGGTACCTGACAGGACATTGCAGACTGAGGTACCACCTACACACATTGGGACTCTTGAGAAGACGAACTGCAGTTGTTGTGATTATCGCGATTCAACATTGTTCTGGAAAAATCGCTGGTATAAATAGTAATTAAAAAATCGCCTGCTACAAAATAGACGTCAAGCCAAATTTTGCAGACGATTATCGCCTGTAAAAAAATCGCCTCATGTAAAGGCAGCTTAAGGGTTAGCACAATAGATCTAGTTAGGTCGCAGCGGTGTATGCCCTTATCATCATAATAATAATGCCTATTACGG